TCTGCGCTTTCATCGTTTTCGTTTTTGGGAGGGTGGGGGGGGGGCTAAAGGCAGCGAACACGATGGCTGGAGGATGGCGCTGGTAAACGTCATTGGGTCAACAAGAGCTGGTCCCTACCAAAAGCGCAGCGCGCTGGGGGTCTAGTTCACCCATGACATCAGCTATCCTGTTTAGTGCCTTTAACCAGATGTTAACACGCAGTGAGAAACGTCTTAAGCTAGCGTATTATGAACGATTGTGAAACATGAGTTTTTCCGCTTACAAAATGCCTGGAGAGGTACCCGAGAAATATGCTTCTACTGGTGCTTATTAACAAAAACTCAAATGGAGAGGAGTTGGAATCTATGTATTTGATTTACGGTACAGAAACACGTATGAATAAAACACAACAATCAAGACTAATTGGAATGAATAAATGAAACAACCTGTGGCTCCTATTTCTCCAAGAATCACTTCGCTCAGGTAAAAGCAAGATTCGGGATAAAATAGGTGTGAAAAGCGTTCAGGTGTGAAGCTATAGGTGGGAAGTGGAAAAGACAGCCCATCAAGGAATCCAGTAGAGGTGACCTGTGGTGCATGTATGAAGAAAAAAGCAAGAAAAGCCGTTAATCCGGAAAATGAGATCCGCTCTTTCTCCCTTGATTTCCGCATTGACGAGACCGTACCGCTGCTGTCCTCTTCAACGATAACGTTCTCGTTCTGTTGGACGGCTAGAGTCAGACGGCGAGAGGGTGGGCGGGGGCAGCATCGCGCCATAGGAATGGCCCTGCCAGGCCGCTAGGGGCATACTCTTCACTGCGAAACGCACATCGTCTCGCACGTTTCGAGGACCGCATGCCTTCAGAATGGTTATTCCCACTCCCTCAACCTCCGACCTTAGGGTGGGATCCACCTTTAGAATTCAGTATTCTGGTTGAAAGTTGCGTATGTTTGTTGCCTTTCTGAGACAGAAATATTAAACTGGGTGTTCTCAGTGTAACGGATTTTACGTATTTCAAGTACTTTTTTTAATAGTTGTAAAATGCCTTCGAATTGAAGCCCTAATAACGCATGCCAATGATTGTTTCGTAGTTGATTGTTCTATGGAATCACAAAATCTTCCAGTGATTTGGTTCTACTTGGTAGTTTATGCGAATTTTCAGCAGAGCACATAATTTTTCTATTTTTAACCCCTCTTCAATTCCACGAAAATATGCTGGGGAAGTGAAAAATTAATTGAAAGTGACGGCTATGTGAAGCATGTAAATCGAGTTTTCCATGGTCTTTCAAAGGTGCCTGTGAGCAAAGGTAGGTCACGAAACAGTAAGCAGATTAGTTTCGTAACATTCTGAGCCTGACCAAGAAAGTTTGCAGAGTCTCAGAAAAAGAGCCAAACCCGAGAGCCGGATGCACTTTTGCTCGTTAGGGATGTGAACATACTTTGCGACCGTCTTGAAGTCCAGTGGTGAAATTATACGTATTTATTGTGTGATCTTGGGAAAATGCGATCGTGAGATTACAGGATCGATGCGGATCTAATCCACACTCGAACTGCAAACGAAGTGTGAGGTAGCTCCGAAGTATGACCAGACCAAAAGGGTTTAAAGGAATCTTCCACGGACCATGGACCAGTGGGCGGGACCGGAAGTTTTTGTGACGAAATGCATGGTAGGTACGGATCCACGTGTCGAACGCACGAACGTGAACAGGATTCACTTCAAACCTTCCCATGAACGTGGATCCGTACCTACCATGCATTTTCGTTGCAAAACCACTTCCTGGTCCTACAAAAAGCGCAAGCCGCTGGGGTCAGTTCAGCCATGACATCAGCTATCCTGTTTAGTGCCTTTAACCAGATGTTAACACGCAGTGAGAAACGTCTTAAGCTAGCGTATCATGAACGATTGTGAAACATGAGTTTTTCCGCTTACAAAATGCCTGGAGAGGTACCCGAGAAATATGCTTCTTACTGGGTGCTTATTCCAGAAAAAAATAACAAAAACTCAAATGATGAGGCGTTGGAATCTATGTCATTGTGCACAATAACGGTACAGGAAACTACGGTATGAATATACACAGGCCAACCAAAAATCAAGACTAATGGGAATGAATAAATGAAACAACCTGGGCTCCGATTCCAAAGATATCACTTCGAGAACTACTCACAAAAGGAATAAGGAGGAAAAGCGCCAGCAAGATTACGTGATAAATAATGTGTCACAAAGAGCGTATCATTAAGCGCTTGCTGTGACAGTCTATTCATGTTTGGACGTGACATACACCAGTCCATCTGACTGAAAGGAATCCGAAGAGAAGGTGACCTGTGTGTCAATGTCTAAAAGAAATACAAGCTATATATCAATAAGCACGTCGAGAATCCGGAACAATTGATAGAGAGTCGCGCGGCTGCGCGCTTGGATTGTCGCGGCATGACGAGACCGTACCGCTGCTGTCCTCTTCAACGATAAAGTTCGCGTTCTGTTGGACGGCCTAGGAATTAATCTGCGAGGGTGGGCGGGCAGCATTCAGTGCCGTACTCAGCAATAGCGCCCTTGACCGCCAGCTAGGCATAACCTCTACTGCGAAACGCCAATCGTCTCCGCGACGTTTCGCGGACGCGATGCTCCAGAATGGTTATTCCACTCTCCTCAAGCGCTCCGACCTTAGGTGGGATCCACCTTTAGAATCAGTATTCTGGTATGAAGTGGCGTCATGTTTATCTGCCTTTCTGTAGACAGAAACTACTTACTCTTGGTGTTTCCTCAAAGAACGATTTTTACGTATTTAACAGATACTTTTAAAAATTAGTTCTACTCAAATCCCCGATTCGAGCATATGAATGTCTTTACCTAGATAAAGACATGCAATATGATTTGTAATTCGTAGTTGATTCTGTTTAAGATCTAATAGGAAGTCAAAAACTCTCAGTGAGTGAGTTCTACTTCGTGGTACATTTTAATTTCGAAAATTTCAGAGCAAGAAGCTAATAATTTCTATTTTATCACCCTCTTGAAATAGTTTCTGCTGTTACTTGAAAATTATGCGTGGGTGACGTGATACGTGAGAAATTCACTATTGAATAGCGACTGTCGTATGCAAGCATGTAAATGCGAGTTGAGTTAAATCCACTGAGTCCAGTCAAAATGCCGATGACCTCTCTGATCAATAGGAAAGGTCACGAAACAGTAAGCAGATTAGTTTCGTAACATTCTGAGCCTGACCAAGAAAGTTTGCAGAGTCTCAGAAAAAGAGCCAAACCCGAGAGCCGGCACTTTTGCTTGTTAGGGATGTGAACATACTTTGCGAGCGCCCCGGGCCCCGCCGGCGGCGCCCCGCCGCCCCGCCCGCCCCGCCCCGCGCGCCGCCCGGCGCCCCCCGCGCGCCCGCGCGCCCCCCCGCCCCGGCCGCGCCCGGCGGGGCGCGCGGCGGCCGGGGCGGGGGGGGGGCGGCGCGGGGGGGCGGCGCCGGCCGGCCGCCCGCGCGCCAGGGCGGCGCCCGCGGCCGCCGGGGCGGCGTGCCCTTGAAGTCCAGTGGTGAAATTATACGTATTTATTGTGTGATCTTGGGAAAATGCGATCGTGAGATTACAGGATCGATGCGGATCTAATCCACACTCGAACTGCAAACGAAGTGTGAGGTAGCTCCGAAGTATGACCAGACCTAAAGGGTGTTTAAAGGAATCTTCCACGGACCATGGACCAGTGGGCGGGACCGGAAGTTTTTGTGACGAAATGCATGGTAGGTACGGATCCACGTGTCGAACGCACGAACGTGAACAGGATTCACTTCAAACCTTCCCATGAACGTGGATCCGTACCTACCATGCATTTCGTCGCAAAACCACTTCCGGTCCCGCCCACTGGTCCATGGTCCGTGGAAGATTCCTTTAAGGCAATGGTTGCATCTACGAAATGGATTTCAGGAAAAAGATGGCAACAAAAAGTAAGACTTTCGTGTAGCTATTTTTTAGGCGGAAGTGGTATAGTAGCAAGTGGCGCTACCAATGCATCACTGAGACCATGAGTTCGGATCGGATCGTACGCCGTCAGGGCCAACCAAGCCTTCCATCCCTCCGGGGTCGGTTAATTGGTACCAGACTTGTCTGGGAGGATCACTGACTTGAACATCGGCTGGCCCCCGCAAGTCATTGTATAGGCCACATCGCATTCAAATGCCACTACGAATGTACAAATGGAAGTAGAATGCGTGGCGCATCCCAAAGCAGGATCGATAAACGCCAAGCGCAAAATCAGATCAGATTGTTTAGATCAAAGATGTGCATACGGCCTCGGCAGTTGGTTATTTCCAGGGCTCGGTGGCTCGTGGCTCGACATTCGAAAGTTCTTTTATCACATTCGAAAGTTTTTCCATGCGGTCTATCAGTAAAAAAAGCATGTAAAACCAGAACGCGCTGTTCTCTAATTTTCCTAACACACACTTCCTCTTGGGATCTTATGAAGTTTTATCTCAGTTAACTTTTTTCGTGGAATCGCTTCCTCCATTTGATTCTATTTCATTGCATAATGGAAAAAATTCGCCCCGAACGACTCCCCCTCTATCTGACAAATTTCAGATAAATAAAAAAATAAATAAAAATTGGAACTTAAAATTTCATCATTTTCGGAAGAACAGCCAGCGAACAGATAAAGTGATACATCAGACAAGGAATACGCAAGTTTTATAATTATGAAACAAAAGAAAAAATCAATAGTCTTAGAAGCCCTCGATCCATTACCAGACTTCCGCGTGGAAAAAAGAGTCGCGAAAAGTGATTTTTGTTAGATTTGATAGCCTTTTTGAGGATTTATCGCCTCCCTACAAGAATTGTCCTCATTAACTTACGTTTATCTCTGGCTAGCTCGTAGTCATTCTTGCATACAAGTCGACCGTCATTCGGAATGAGATAAAATTCCTCTCCAGTTTTCAGCTCCCTTTTACAAACGACACATTGGAAACATGCGACATGGTAGATGTGACCTGAACCAAATATCCCTAGTCACAGATTTTGCGCAGACTGATACAAACGCGTACCTGAGGCTTTCCTCACTGCCGAGTTCGGAGTGATACCGTCCCCACATTGCGTACATTTCGTGCCGAATCGCCTGAATTAATAAATTGGGATCAGGACTATGAATAATAAATACATAATGATGTCTAATGTCTGGTGGCCTATTCCAATAAAAGATGAAAAATCAGGCCATTTTGCTGAAGAGAAGCAAGGCTTTCGAAACCACCATAACAATCGGCGCTATCGCATGATAGGGGGGCTTTGTGGTGACAATACGGTTAAAGCAGCGTAAAACATATCCTTGGTGTCAAAGTCAGGATTATGCCTTATGTGGGAGAGGAGAGACTTCAGGACGCGTGAGCAGTTTCATTTTTCCCGAAGTTCTTGCCCCTCCTAGGTTCAAATGGTCTTAGAGGATGCCCCCATGACTTGCGATAGCGATCAATAATCTCCTTCTATTATAATTTGAAAGCAGTAGCACTCGGTTAGTTCCCTTTTCGCCCAGCGGAACTAGTTCACCCATCCACCAGCTCCTGCACTGCTGAAAATTGGCATTACCGTAATCCGCGCGACCGCGCGGCTCATTGCACCAAGATGCTCCCTGCCAACTAATGACTCTGAAACTGAGTGTAGGTCGGCTCGATACCTACGATAGCAGTGCAGTTGCGGAACATACATAGCATAATCCTCTCTTGCTGCACAAATGTTCAACAAATTAGGCGTGCACGAAAAATTAAGAATAAAGTGAATGAAGTGGAAAATCGAACTTGTAAAAATGGTCCTTGCAGTAGAGAGAATCATCCTTCATGAAGCACTTCGAAGTGAGAACCTCGTGGCAAACGTAGCACCTGAGGCAGTTTGTGTGGTATGAACTGCAATATTTCTTTTAAGGTTACATCGAAATCGATCGATAATACAATTAAAATACCAGTTTGTGAAGTTACATAACTGAGATGGTCCATTATGCCTCTAGTAGTCAACCACTTCATTCCTCTGTATTGTTACGTCACGATAAGAGGCAAATAAACAAATAAATAAGTAATACATTAAGTAAGTAAATAAATAAATAATTAAAACGGGTGCTGACAAAAATGTAGGTATTATTCGTTTTCAAGGCTTTATTTTCTTTATTTTTTTTCCACCAAATAAAAAGAGAGCCACTGGAGGACGTCGTGTCAGGCTGTCACTGAACTTTCACCAATAAGATTTAGAAAATTGATTCAAGTATCAAATTCATTAACAGCTGCTTGATTTCGTTTGTGACAAAAATCGATACACTTCTATTTATCACAAAAATCAATACACTAATCTAAATATGTCCCATACGAATCACGTTCTTCCACTTTTCCGACAAAAAATCGATACCACGGTTCCAAAAATTACTTTCCTTGGATAAAAGAATCACTTAACTTTTCACGAACTGCATAAGCTCCTACAAATCTATGCAATGTTATCAAAGTGATAAGACAGTTTTACTGGAATAATAAGTGAAAATTCATCGGTGACAAATCTGAGAGTAGAGTAATATCGGTCGAACCAGTTGCATTCCATCATAAAGTTCAAAGTTATGAAGCAACTATTTTTCAACAATTTTTTTTGACGAGGCAAAATAGTGCGCAGAAGAAAAATTTTCCCTTAAAACTCGAGAACAAATAAGTTTTGAAAGGTTTCACCCACTAAGGGGGACATGAGATGCGACAGTGATGCCATTTACAGAAATTCCTATTTTTTTCAGTATTTATGCAGGGGATGAAATCCATCCATTTTCTTTATTTCATTTATTTTCCTAAAGCAAATAAAGCATGCGCAGAAGAACAAAAATGTAGGAATGTAAGGACAAATACATTCAAGGTAGCCAATAAGGTTGCAGCCCTTATTTCAGTATGAAAATCTAGCGTTCCAGCGAGAACAAATTAATGAACCAAAAATTGCTAAATGAGTTTTTACTTGTTTTTTTTGTTTCTTAATTACTGAATAAGTCGAAAATCGGAAGTCGGAAAAGAGTTTCTGCTTCCACACCCACCTCGGAACACTCCCCCTTTGCAAAATTTTGAACTACATATGTACTATTGCCGAATAGTTGCACCCCATGCCCTCTACTCCATACAGGATGATACCCGCCTTTTTCCCACTGACAAACAATTTGCCACGGCCTATTATTTTAAAGGTGCCCGAGGAAATCTGTGCCTCTTCACGGAGGTCCCTAGACATCCAAATTTTTGGAGGAGAGGGATCCATTTACCGTCCGATCAATATGAAGATATTCAAGATATCATTAATTGAAGTTTTTTGTCAATGCTGAATAATTTATAAATACAATTTGATAGAATTGTAAGTTTCATAGGGAAATTTTCTGTTTTATGCAATAATTCTTATTTTTAAATTTCCTAAATGAGTTTATTATTATGGGTAAATAATAAATACGTTACAAGGTTTAAAAAATAATTTTTATCAGTAAATGTATTTATTTATCGTTTAAAAGCAAAGTTAAATTCAAAGGTGTTATTAGTAACTGTATTATTA